GTATGAGCGGGCGGTGCAGCGTATGAGCGTGCGGTGCAGCGTATGAGCGGGCGGTGCAGCGTATGAGCGGGCGGTGCAGCGTATGAGCGGGCGATGCAGCGTATGAGCGTGCGGTGCAGCGTATGAGCGGGCGGTGCAGCGTATGAGCGTGCGGTGCAGAGTATGAGCGTGCGGTGCAGCGTATGAGCGGGCGGTGCAGCGTATGAGCGGGCGGTGCAGCGTATGAGCGTGCGGTGCAGCGTATGAGCGTGCGGTGCAGCGTATGAGCGTGCGGTGCAGCGTATGAGCGGGCGATGCAGCGTATGAGCGTGCGGTGCAGCGTATGAGCGGGCGGTGCAGCGTATGAGCGTGCGGTGCAGCGTATGAGCGTGCGGTGCAGCGTATGAGCGGGCGGTGCAGCGTATGAGCGGGCGGTGCAGCGTATGAGCGTGCGGTGCAGCGTATGAGCGTGCGGTGCAGCGTATGAGCGGGCGGTGCAGCGTATGAGCGGGCGGTGCAGCGTATGAGCGTGCGGTGCAGCGTATGAGCGTGCGGTGCAGCGTATGAGCGGGCGGTGCAGCGTATGAGCGGGCGGTGCAGCGTATGAGCGTGCGGTGCAGCGTATGAGCGTGCGGTGCAGCGTATGAGCGTGCGGTGCAGCGTATGAGCGGGCGATGCAGCGTATGAGCGTGCGGTGCAGCGTATGAGCGGGCGGTGCAGCGTATGAGCGGGCGGTGCAGCGTATGAGCGTGCGGTGCAGCGTATGAGCGGGCGGTGCAGCATATGAGCGTGCGGTGCAGCGTATGAGCGGGCGGTGCAGCGTATGAGCGGGCGATGCAGCGTATGAGCGTGCGGTGCAGCGTATGAGCGGGCGGTGCAGCGTATGAGCGTGCGGTGCAGAGTATGAGCGTGCGGTGCAGCGTATGAGCGGGCGGTGCAGCGTATGAGCGGGCGGTGCAGCGTATGAGCGTGCGGTGCAGCGTATGAGCGTGCGGTGCAGCGTATGAGCGTGCGGTGCAGCGTATGAGCGGGCGATGCAGCGTATAAGCGTGCGGTGCAGCGTATGAGCGGGCGGTGCAGCGTATGAGCGTGCGGTGCAGCGTATGAGCGGGCGGTGCAGCGTATGAGCGTGCGGTGCAGCGTATGAGCGGGCGGTGCAGTGTATGAGCGTGCGGAGCGTGCGGTGCAGCGTATGAGCGGGCGGTGCAGCGTATGAGCGGGCGGTGCAGCGTATGAGCGTGCGGTGCAGCGTATGAGCGGGCGGTGCAGCGTATGAGCGGGCGGTGCAGCGTATGAGCGTGCGGTGCAGCGTATGAGCGGGCGGTGCAGCGTATGAGCGGGCGATGCAGCGTATGAGCGTGCGGTGCAGAGTATGAGCGTGCGGTGCAGCGTATGAGCGTGCGGTGCAGCGTATGAGCGTGCGGTGCAGCGTATGAGCGGGCGGTGCAGCGTATGAGCGTGCGGTGCAGCGTATGAGCGTGCGGTGCAGCGTATGAGCGGGCGGTGCAGCGTATGAGCGTGCGGTGCAGCGTATGAGCGGGCGGTGCAGCGTATGAGCGTGCGGTGCAGCGTATGAGCGTGCGGTGCAGCGTATGAGCGTGCGGTGCAGCGTATGAGCGGGCGGTGCAGCGTATGAGCGTGCGGTGCAGCGTATGAGCGTGCGGTGCAGCGTATGAGCGTGCGGTGCAGCGTATGAGCGGGCGGTGCAGCGTATGAGCGTGCGGTGCAGCGTATGAGCGGGCGGTGCAGCGTATGAGCGTGCGGTGCAGCGTATGAGCGTGCGGTGCAGCGTATGAGCGGGCGGTGCAGCGTATGAGCGTGCGGTGCAGCGTATGAGCGTGCGGTGCAGCGTATGAGCGGGCGGTGCAGCGTATGAGCGTGCGGTGCAGCGTATGAGCGGGCGGTGCAGCGTATGAGCGTGCGGTGCAGCGTATGAGCGTGCGGTGCAGCGTATGAGCGTGCGGTGCAGCGTATGAGCGTGCGGTGCAGCGTATGAGCGTGCGGTGCAGCGTATGAGCGTGCGGTGCAGCGTATGAGCGTGCGGTGCAGCGTATGAGCGGGCGGTGCGGGCGGTGCAGCGTATGAGCGTGCGGTGCAGAGTATGAGCGTGCGGTGCAGCGTATGAGCGTGCGGTGCAGCGTATGAGCGTGCGGTGCAGCGTATGAGCGGGCGGTGCAGCGTATGAGCGTGCGGTGCAGCGTATGAGCGTGCGGTGCAGCGTATGAGCGGGCGGTGCAGCGTATGAGCGTGCCGTGCAGCGTATGAGCGGGCGGTGCAGCGTATGAGCGTGCGGTGCAGCGTATGAGCGTGCGGTGCAGCGTATGAGCGGGCGGTGCAGCGTATGAGCGTGCGGTGCAGCGTATGAGCGTGCGGTGCAGCGTATGAGCGGGCGGTGCAGCGTATGAGCGTGCGGTGCAGCGTATGAGCGGGCGGTGCAGCGTATGAGCGTGCGGTGCAGCGTATGAGCGTGCGGTGCAGCGTATGAGCGTGCGGTGCAGCGTATGAGCGGGCGATGCAGCGTATGAGCGGGCGGTGCAGCGTATGAGCGTGCGGTGCAGCGTATGAGCGTGCGGTGCAGCGTATGAGCGTGCGGTGCAGCGTATGAGCGGGCGGTGCAGCGTATGAGCGTGCGGTGCAGCGTATGAGCGGGCGATGCAGCGTATGAGCGTGCGGTGCAGCGTATGAGCGTGCGGTGCAGCGTATGAGCGGGCGATGCAGCGTATGAGCGTGCGGTGCAGCGTATGAGCGGGCGGTGCAGCGTATGAGCGTGCGGTGCAGCGTATGAGCGGGCGGTGCAGCGTATGAGCGGGCGGTGCAGCGTATGAGCGGGCGGTGCAGCGTATGAGCGTGCGGTGCAGCGTATGAGCGGGCGGTGCAGCGTATGAGCGGGCGATGCAGCGTATGAGCGTGCGGTGCAGAGTATGAGCGTGCGGTGCAGCGTATGAGCGTGCGGTGCAGCGTATGAGCGTGCGGTGCAGCGTATGAGCGGGCGGTGCAGCATATGAGCGTGCGGTGCAGCGTATGAGCGTGCGGTGCAGCGTATGAGCGGGCGGTGCAGCGTATGAGCGTGCGGTGCAGCGTATGAGCGGGCGGTGCAGCGTATGAGCGTGCGGTGCAGCGTATGAGCGTGCGGTGCAGCGTATGAGCGTGCGGTGCAGCGTATGAGCGGGCGGTGCAGCGTATGAGCGTGCGGTGCAGCGTATGAGCGTGCGGTGCAGCGTATGAGCGTGCGGTGCAGCGTATGAGCAGGCGATGCAGCGTATGAGCGTGCGGTGCAGCGTATGAGCGGGCGGTGCAGCGTATGAGCGTGCGGTGCAGCGTATGAGCGGGCGGTGCAGCGTATGAGCGTGCGGTGCAGCGTATGAGCGGGCGGTGCAGTGTATGAGCGTGCGGAGCGTGCGGTGCAGCGTATGAGCGGGCGGTGCAGCGTATGAGCGTGCGGTGCAGCGTATGAGCGGGCGGTGCAGCGTATGAGCGGGCGGTGCAGCGTATGAGCGGGCGGTGCAGCGTATAAGCGTGCGGTGCAGCGTATGAGCGGGCGGTGCAGCGTATGAGCGGGCGATGCAGCGTATGAGCGTGCGGTGCAGAGTATGAGCGTGCGGTGCAGCGTATGAGCGTGCGGTGCAGCGTATGAGCGTGCGGTGCAGCGTATGAGCGGGCGGTGCAGCGTATGAGCGTGCGGAGCGTGCGGTGCAGCGTATGAGCGGGCGGTGCAGCGTATGAGCGTGCGGAGCGTGCGGTGCAGCGTATGAGCGGGCGGTGCAGCGTATGTGCGTGCGGTGCAGCGTATGAGCGGGCGGTGCAGCGTATGAGCGTGCGGTGCAGCGTATGAGCGTGCGGTGCAGCGTATGAGCGTGCGGTGCAGCGTATGAGCGTGCGGTGCAGCGTATGAGCGTGCGGTGCAGCGTATGAGCGTGCGGTGCAGCGTATGAGCGTGCGGTGCAGCGTATGAGCGGGCGGTGCGGGCGGTGCAGCGTATGAGCGTGCGGTGCAGAGTATGAGCGTGCGGTGCAGCGTATGAGCGTGCGGTGCAGCGTATGAGCGTGCGGTGCAGCGTATGAGCGGGCGGTGCAGCGTATGAGCGTGCGGTGCAGCGTATGAGCGTGCGGTGCAGCGTATGAGCGGGCGGTGCAGCGTATGAGCGTGCGGTGCAGCGTATGAGCGGGCGGTGCAGCGTATGAGCGTGCGGTGCAGCGTATGAGCGTGCGGTGCAGCGTATGAGCGTGCGGTGCAGCGTATGAGCGGGCGGTGCAGCGTATGAGCGTGCGGTGCAGCGTATGAGCGTGCGGTGCAGCGTATGAGCGGGCGGTGCAGCGTATGAGCGTGCGGTGCAGCGTATGAGCGGGCGGTGCAGCGTATGAGCGTGCGGTGCAGCGTATGAGCGTGCGGTGCAACGTATGAGCGGGCGATGCAGCGTATGAGCGGGCGGTGCAGCGTATGAGCGTGCGGTGCAGCGTATGAGCGTGCGGTGCAGCGTATGAGCGTGCGGTGCAGCGTATGAGCGGGCGGTGCAGCGTATGAGCGTGCAGTGCAGCGTATGAGCGGGCGATGCAGCGTATGAGCGTGCAGTGCAGCGTATGAGCGTGCGGTGCAGCGTATGAGCGGGCGATGCAGCGTATGAGCGTGCGGTGCAGCGTATGAGCGGGCGGTGCAGCGTATGAGCGTGCGGTGCAGCGTATGAGCGGGCGGTGCAGCGTATGAGCGGGCGGTGCAGCGTATGAGCGTGCGGTGCAGCGTATGAGCGGGCGGTGCAGCGTATGAGCGGGCGATGCAGCGTATGAGCGTGCGGTGCAGAGTATGAGCGTGCGGTGCAGCGTATGAGCGTGCGGTGCAGCGTATGAGCGTGCGGTGCAGCGTATGAGCGGGCGGTGCAGCGTATGAGCGTGCGGTGCAGCGTATGAGCGTGCGGTGCAGCGTATGAGCGTAGCTATGCATTGAGTAATTCCGTTCCCTTGTGTAACCGCAAGGGAAATGCACCGTCTCACCTGTTTCTCTCCGCTTCGTCCCCCCTACCCCCTCAGATGCATGCGTGGGTCGATCTAGACGTGGGCGATTTGAGCTTCAAGGGGCGCACCAGGCGCTTCAATGCCACCGCCGCCTACAATCAGAGCAAGCTCGCTCAGGTGCGCTCCCTCCACTCATTGCATCTACACATACTCCCTGTTATTCAACCTTGTGCTCTCTCCACCCGTTCAGTGTCAATCCTGTGGCTCTATGCTTCTACAGTTTACTCTATCAGCAACCCAACCCACACTTCTTCAATCCCAAACCGAATACCAACCCCCCATCTTCCTCATTCATTTTCCAATCTCCAAACCCCCACCACCCCCCCCCCGTTCAATTTTCCCCCATCCGCCTCCGCGGTGCGCCCGGCACCAGCTGATGCTGACGAACGTGTTGCAGCGTCGTCTGCCGGCCAGTGCGCGCATTGACGTGGTGGCAGTGCACCCAGGGGAGGTGCTCACCAACGTGGTCAGTCCCCTGCGCCCTGCCACACATCCGGACCTATGCTCTAGCATTCTCACAAGTTTACCCGTTTAGGAGACTTGCTGCAAAACATCCATTCCTTTCTTGATTTAGAGGTTCTCACCAACGTGCTGAGACTCTTTGCCCTCTGTCACACTCTATCTGCTGCACGCAATTATATCTGCAATTGCACCCCACCTTTTCCCCTCTATACTCTAGTTTTTCGCCAGCTGCCATGCTCGTGCTTCGAGAGGTGCCCCATACTTTAATTGCTTGTTCCCTCCTGCCCGTGACCCCGTGCAGGCGCGCACACTCCCCAGGTTCATCCAGGAGCTACAACGTGCCGTCATGCACGCCCTGCTTCTCGAGCCCTGCCAGGGTACGCCCACCCACCCGCCCTCTGTACCCCACGCATGCACTCATCCATGCATGCAGTGGTTCTTGCTATCAGTGTAACAGGGAGGGCGTGCATGTGGGGGATACTCCAACTCTCGGCCTCTGTAACAGGGCTCTTGCTATCATTTGTCCGAGAGTTGGAGTATCCCCCACATGCACGCCCTCCCTGTTACACTTGTGGCAACAGCACCTAATTCCAAAGTCAGTGCAACCCGTCACTCCCCGCAACCCATGTACCATACCCCGGGAGCACTGGCGCCTTTGTACTGCGCCACACACGCGGCCGTGGGCGAGCAAGCGAGGGCGGTGCGCGACCAAGGCTTGCTGTCCGGGCCCTACTTTGACCTGGACGGGCGGCGGAGCGAGGTGGCAGCGCACGGGCGCAACGAGAGGGCAGCAGAGGAGCTGTGGTGCGTGGCTCTGGACACCATGGGGCTGCCTCACGACTATGTGGAGACCACCATCGCTGCACTGGCAGGGTAGAGGAGGAGCTGTGGCGCGTGGTGTTAGCTACCGTGGGGCTGCCTCCGTGGGGATGTGCACACTAGTACCATCGCTGCACTTGCAGGGTAGCACAGAGGAGCGGGGTGTGATGCTTTGACTCGGTGGGGCTGTTTGTTTCTTGACCATGTGTATGCCAGCATTGCTGCACTTGCATGGTAGCCGAGAGGATGTGGGCGCCCTGTGACCGTGAATCTAGAAAGCAAGACGGCGAATGCTGTAAGTTACTGCCTGTTGTGTAAGAGCTGATGTATGGAGTTTATGTAATAAATGCCTGCAAGGCAAGCTTCCACCAATGCTGCCTGCAGAGACACTGCCATTCAGTGGGATCATGGCGTGTCGTGTATAGCAGGTGTTTGCTTTATGATCATGACCACGTTTATGCACTCCTCACACACAGCAGACTCTCACACACCAATCTGAGGTGCACTGACTTGGAAATGCACACACGGCACAGCTTTCTTCCATGGTCAGCTTCCCAATATGGTACATAATCAGGGCAATAGGCGCCTCTTAGCAACTGAATAAACGTCCAGAATACCCCTGTGTTCCCTGGAAAAAGGATCTGCTACTGATACGGTATATCATTGCCTTGAGTCCACAAGCTTGGTGCTTACAGCAGCAACTACCATGTCTTGCACAGACAGACCAGCAACCACCGTGCTGATACGACTACTGCAACACACTCTTCTCTTTCACCTCCGCCCACTGCTCGCAGCCTTCTCTGAGCTCTGTCTCTTTCACTCCGTGCATTGCTCTCCTCAGTGACCCCACAGCTGCTCACGGCCGTGGAGGGGGGGGAGGGGAGCGCCGGCGAGGGGGAGGGGGGCGAGCAGTGGGAGGCGGCGGGGGGGACTTGATGGGAGTACGAGGGGGAGGGGGAGGGCGCTTGGGGCCCGGGGGCGGGGGAGGGGAAAGGGGAGGCGGAGGAGGGGAGGCAGGGGCAGGGGGGGAGGGTGGGGATGGCGGGGAGGGAGGGGAAGCGGGGGAGGGGGCGGGGGGCACAGCAGGGACGTCGGAGTTCCAGAGGGCTCTGGCCACACGGAAGGAGGAGCAGTATGGCTCCCTCCTTGGAGAAGCTGAGGCTCCTGCATGCCCCCTTCCCTCTGTGCCTTGCCTCGGCTGCACTGCACTGGTGTGGTCCTCGCTGCTGCTCTCCCACAGCAGCACGAACTTGCCCTGCCCCTCAGAAAGCCCTGCACCCATGCCCCGCCATGCACACACACATGGGCACAAGTTGGCATTCACACAAGAAGGGACGCTTGCACAACCACTCATTCAGCAGTTGCTTAAAGCTGCGAGTGAAGCAAGCAGGGCAGGCAAGGAGCAATGTCTCCGGCAATGGAGGTGAGCACAAGCCAAAAGCAGCAGGGAGAAAGCAGGGCAGAGCAACGTACCGTTGAGTTCCCACAGCCTGTAAACGCCCCGTGTCACCACCACGTACGGTGATGACCCCACTCTGCTCCCATGCCACGTGTCCACCCCTAAAGCCAGCCACGTGTCACCCTCTAGAGCATGCCACGTGGCAGCCTGCAGCACGAGCAGCTCCTCCAGCTGGGGCTGGAAGATGAGGCGGCGGCCCGTGATTGGCTGCAGCCACGCTGCCGCCTGTGCAGCGGTGTGCAGCGTCAGGGGCAGGGAGGCCGGGGGGAAGAGCACGGCTTGGGGGGCGAATATCTGTGCAGCGGCGGTGGCGTTGCCATTCAGCAGTGCCACTGTGAGTGCTGCCAACGCCGCCTCCACTTTCCACTGCGCACAACCCCCCTCCACCGCTGCACCACCACTCCTCCCGCCCAATCCCTCTGGACTGGACCCAGCCCCCACCCCCTGCTGCGCCTCCTGCTGCACCGTTGCGGCCTCATGGCCCAGCACGGCGCTGGCAGGATTGAGGGGGCTGCGCGCATCTCCCTTCTGCGCCTGCACTGCGCTGCTGCTCCCGCCACCGCCCTCGCTGCTGACATCAGCGGGTCCAGCAGTGAGCCAAGCAGTGGCTTGTGGCGCCACCAACAGCTGCCGCATGCCCTTCCTCCTAACCCTGCCCTCACTGCCCGCCTGCACCAACCCCTCCGCACCGCCCCACGCGGTGGAATGCGGTGCTCTGCGGTTCTGGCAGGTGCGGGTGGCATGGTTCCAGGCGGCCCAGTGCATTCGCCACACCTTGGAGTGGTCATTGCGTGCCCCTCGTGCCCCTCGTGCACGGCACTCCAGTAGGCTCTCACGCTCAGAGTCACCGCTCTCAGGGCTCGTCGCCTTCCCCCCGCTGCGCGCCAGCTCAGCAGATCTGTGCCACGTGGCCAGAATGGACCCGTCCACGCACGCTGATTCGCACGCGGAAGCTTCCTCGCGTCCTTCTTCGACCTCCTCGACGCCTGACGCTCGCTCGCCTCCTTGCTCCGCCTGGCCGCTCCGCCGAGTCGCGCCAAGGCAGTTTGCAGTGAATGCGATGCGAGCCACGGCGAACAGGTCCCCGCCTCGCAGCACGCCTGCGCCCTCCCCACCCGCCGCACTGCCCTCCGCGCCCTCCTCTTCTTCCGCCACTTCCTCTTCTTCCTCTTCCTCTGTCTCCTCCCCCCTCTGCTGCTGCTGTTGCGCAGTCGCTGTCGCTGCCCCTGTCGCCGGATCTCCTCGCGTTCCTAGTGTCCGGATCGCGTCACTGACTCTCCCCGGGTCGCCCTTGCCCACCCAGGCCTCGAGGACATTAAAGCGCAATCTAATGTCGAGCGCCAGCAGCTGCTGCACGAGGCTCAGTCGCAGCGCGCTCACGTTCAGGAGCAGCTCTGGAGAATGGGGAGGAAGGATCGACGAAGTTTCGGGGAAGAAGTCCAGAATGCCGCACGCATCCCCGGAATTCACGGCGGCGGCGAGATCGCTCAGCGAGTCGGAGATGGTTTCGACGACCTCGCGCGGGTCCACCGAGCCTAACGAGGTGCCAGGCTCGGCAGCAGGCTTGGTTCCGAATTCAGCATTGCTGCGAGGCAGCATTGGTAGTGATAGAATAAGCAGGCAGGAGAGCAACAGCGCTGCTGGAAGGCGGAACGGGTGTGGTGCGCGCCATTGGGCTCGCGAACCAGGGAGATACCTCATCGCAACTCCACCTCGCGACTCGCGAGAGCGGCTAATAGCTGAGAAAGAGGCGGAGACAGTCTGTACGCCACGAGAGCTTGGGGATGAGCATTCGGAATGTCAGAAGCGAGGATGGCATTGGCAGTGCTGCCTGCGCGCACCATGGCATGGCATGCCGCACGTCCCCCTGCCCCTGTATTGCGCGGATGAGTGGGAGCAGCTGGGTTCCCCCATGCCCAAATGTGTGCTAGCTGGAATGAGCGCGTTCGCGATACAATGTAAAATGTATCTACAACGCTGAGATTATGGGTCAACACCCCATATGCACACACAGATGTGATGCAATGGCATCTACTGGTTACTAATGTGAACACAGATTCGCCTGGTATCCTCTCATTATCATACGGTACTATTGTGCCTTTGCTGAGCGCAGGACCAAGCCTACCCTATTGCCTTTGATAATGATAGGGTATGCCTGTTGTACGAACTCCTTGATTGCGGTTACGGTCTCATTATCAAAATCTTTACAATATACAACATATATACCCTGACTAGGTTGCAGCAATCTCTGACTTTTCTTCAATCTCATGACCACCGGTCCCATCAATTCGCAGAAAGCGGGGTGTACTTGAAGTTCTTGAACGTCACAGTGAAAGGCTGCACAAGAACGAAGCAATGCGTGAATATTGAGCGAAGGCTGCAACAATCACTGATCCAAAATACAGAACTGGGATTTCAGAGGCAAGGTGGACTCACAGCGTAGTCATAGTTGACGGGGATGCGGGCGGTGCGGGGTCCGGTGGCCCAGGGGGAGGCGTCCCAGATGCTGAAGTAAACCTTCATGGGGTCCTTGGGATAGTGCGGGCTGCTGTTGCTCACCGTGCGAATGTTCACTCCGTCCACCAGCCACCTGCACAAAAACGTTGATCCGACCATCCAGTGCTCGCGTAAAGCTCTCAGAGATTGTTTTGACGGATGGTCTGCAGGTGCTTCGAGCACTGTGGTGGGAAGAGGCACTCACACGGTCCTCTGCGGGCCCCACTGAATGGTGTACGTGTGGAAGGCAGCAGCGGGGTCAAAGGCAAAGGCGGTGAGGACCTCCTCGTCGCCCTGGCCGTTCATGAACACGTTCGTCTGCAGCGTCATGCCTCGCGAGTTGTTGGGCGACCCCAAAAACTCAAAGTCCCACTCGTCGCGATGCTCGTAGTCGCCTGACTGCAGCTGCACACCGGTGGAAGGATACGACGAGCAGGGGACACGATATGGATCAACATACATGAAGAGTTAATGAGTTCGTGGGTAGATAACTGTGTAGCTTCCATGTTCCGCATGCAACTATGTTGACATTCTAAGCCCTGCATGGCTGCATCAAGCACATGCCACAAGCAGAGAGAACGAATTGGGCTGAGATCGACATGAGCAGGGTAGAGAGAGAGTGTCGTACAAAGAAGGTGGCGCACATGCCAGCGGAGTACCCTCGCGGCATCTTCGCGTCCACGCTGAAAGACCCGAAACTAAAGGCCCGCCGCGACTCAAACCCCGCGCCTGCACAGCAACCAAACGAGACCGCAGTCAGCGTGCTGCTAGCTTCAAGGCTCGCCGATATTTTGACTGCACACCCGAATCTGTTTCATGACTTGACTCTTGCTTTCACCGATGCACACCTCCAACGCGGTCTAGCGTGAGGGAGATGGCACCGCCGTCGGTAACATCGAGGTTCTGCATGGAGCTGAAGGAGAAGAGCCCTCCGAACAGGTTCGACGTGCTGGCTGCCGTTGATGACTCTGGGAGTACGCGCCTTGATACCGCGATGAACGGCCAGGATAGGCCGAGCAGAGTGAGGCCCAGCACAAGAAAGGTACGACCGAGAGGAGTTGCGCAGATAGCCATGAGTTAACCACAGTACTGGAACTCGAAGGACGACGAGGGAGGCGCTGGTGAAGCGCGATTGAATAGCTGAAGTGGTGCTGTGGTGTTTGAGAAGAGGAGCCATGGCGGCTTTTATAGCCCGGCGGCGAGGCCCAGCCGATGCTTTCGAGAAGCATAGGAGCCTCTAAAAGTACGGCGATTAGGACGAGCTGATTCTTCAATAGTTTATCCCGAGAATGTGTGTGGTCGCAAAGGTGGGGTCTGTAACAAACAGTGCCAAAGTTACAGTCACTTTTTAGGTGCCGTGGGTGTTTGGTCTAGCTTACCTCTCGTTTCGTAGTTTGCCTCGCGCTCACTCAAGCTCGTTGCTGAAAGTATAAAAGCGCTAGCTTACCTCTCGTTTCGTAGTTTGCCTCGCGCTCACTCAAGCTCGTTGCTGAAAGTATAAAAGCGCTAGCTTACCTCTCGTTTCGTAGTTTGCCTCGCGCTCACTCAAGCTCGTTGCTGAAAGTATAAAAGCGCTAGCTTACCTCTCGTTTCGTAGTTTGCCTCGCGCTCACTCAAGCTCGTTGCTGAAAGTATAAAAGCGCTAGCTTACCTCTCGTTTCGTAGTTTGCCTCGCGCTCACTCAAGCTCGTTGCTGAAAGTATAAAAGCGCTAGCTTACCTCTCGTTTCGTAGTTTGCCTCGCGCTCACTCAAGCTCGTTGCTGAAAGTATAAAAGCGCTAGCTTACCTCTCGTTTCGTAGTTTGCCTCGCGCTCACTAAAGCTCGTTGCTGAAAGTATAAAAGCGCTAGCTTACCTCTCGTTTCGTAGTTTGCCTCGCGCTCACTCAAGCTCGTTGCTGAAAGTATAAAAGCGCTAGCTTACCTCTCGTTTCGTAGTTTGCCTCGCGCTCACTCAAGCTCGTTGCTGAAAGTATAAAAGCGCTAGCTTACCTCTCGTTTCGTAGTTTGCCTCGCGCTCACTCAAGCTCGTTGCTGAAAGTATAAAAGCGCTAGCTTACCTCTCGTTTCGTAGTTTGCCTCGCGCCCACTCAAGCTCGTTGCTGAAAGTATAAAAGCGCTAGCTTACCTCTCGTTTCGTAGTTTGCCTCGCGCTCACTCAAGCTCGTTGCTGAAAGTATAAAAGCGCTAGCTTACCTCTCGTTTCGTAGTTTGCCTCGCGCCCACTCAAGCTCGTTGCTGAAAGTATAAAAGCGCTAGCTTACCTCTCGTTTCGTAGTTTGCCTCGCGCTCACTCAAGCTCGTTGCTGAAAGTATAAAAGCGCTAGCTTACCTCTCGTTTCGTAGTTTGCCTCGCGCTCACTCAAGCTCGTTGCTGAAAGTATAAAAGCGCTAGCTTACCTCTCGTTTCGTAGTTTGCCTCGCGCTCCCTCAAGCTCGTTGCTGAAAGTATAAAAGCGCTAGCTTACCTCTCGTTTCGTAGTTTGCCTCGCGCTCACTCAAGCTCGTTGCTGAAAGTATAAAAGCGCTAGCTTACCTCTCGTTTCGTAGTTTGCCTCGCGCTCACTCAAGCTCGTTGCTGAAAGTATAAAAGCGCTAGCTTACCTCTCGTTTCGTAGTTTGCCTCGCGCTCACTCAAGCTCGTTGCTGAAAGTATAAAAGCGCTAGCTTACCTCTCGTTTCGTAGTTCGTCGAGCTGCTCGCTCAGGTGAAGCAGCTAAACTCACTACTCACCGCTAAGGAGCAAAAACAGGGACTTCGTACTCTCGTTTATAGCCATACGCGAGCGTCGCGACTTGCTTACCTCAGTCGAAAACCTCGAAAACCTATTGCGCGACGTGCTGGACGAAATTAGGATCGCGCCATTTCCGTGCAGCTGCTACTTCACGTTGCTGGAAAATTAGGTCGCCGAACCGCTCGCTCGTACCGGCCACGAACATCGAGTTCAGTTGCGTGGGTTGTGTTCAGGACCTTGCAGCACGCCGCCAGCACGATATTTCACCTTCCGCAGCACGACCAGCTGTTCCGCGTCTTCCCTCCCTTTGGCAACTGCACCGCCCCTCCCCACCTCCCAAATTTCCCGCCACCTCGCCGCGTCTGCATCCTCGCTTGCAGCTGCCCCTACAGCATCCGCAACCTCGCTTCACGAGACCTCTCGCGCTACACCACCTAACAGCTACATTTCATTTTCCAGCTTCCTTCTTATGCTTCCTCACTTTCCACATTCACTCCACATGCCACGATCCTACTACCCAACAAAATGACAAGCCGCAAAAGGGGCCGTGGAACCCAAGACTCTGAACCCACTTCTCCTCGTCCGCCTGCCCGTTCGCGACAAACTCCTGCCTTTGCGACTCTTTCAACCTCCCCATCAAACCTTGCACCACCCCCTACTCCTAAGCCTAAACCATCTTCTGCTCATTCCCAGCAACCTTCGACAACACCAGCCCCGAAAATTGTATCGGAAAAACAAAAGGAGATTCTCCAGCACGTCCTGAAGGGCACCCTTCCTGATTCTCCGTCTTCAACACGGCCTGAAACCTCTCACCCTCAGCCCTCGACTTCCCGGGCCCATCCTTCATCCACCTCAACACCTCCTCCGACGACTGCAGCGGATGCTCCTGATCCCACAGCCCCTGCCGACAACACGCACCCACTATCACACTATGAAACTGCTGCTTCACCTTCTCGAGATCTCCCTCCTCCTTCCCCTACCCCTCACTCTACGCAGCCATGCCCGCAACCCTGCCCGCCCTCATCAACCTCCGATAACCCACTACCTCCTAATTCTTGCCCCACATGTCGACGCACCTTTGCCAACCCAGGTTCGCTGGCCCGTCACCTTCCAGCCTGCTCTCGCAACACCGCCACACGTCAGCAAGCTGCTCGGCCTCCTCCTCCCCGCTCATCAACCCCAACCTCGGCGCCTGCAGCCGCAGATCGACCTGCAATTCCTCAAGCCACTTGGGAGGCCATTCCTTCCTGGGATTGGCCTTCCTTCTTCAGGCCAGCAGTCTCACCTGGCCCTATTCTCCGCCGAATCCCCTCCCGCATCCGACTCCTCATTCTCGATGCACTTCTCATTCCACTGCGCCGCCTTGCACAGTAGCCTTCTGACGTCGCTGCACACCTCATTCTCTTGGCATTTCCGCGTCTCTTGCTGCGCCTACCATCCGCCGCTGCTCCCACGCAGTCCCTTACCTTCATGTGCCTCCTTAGCGCGCCGCTTCATCAATGGTGACTGGCAGTCTCTTTTCAGTGAGGCTGTAGCTGCAGCCACTCCAGCCGCCAGACCTCTGCACATGGCATCGGCACGTTCTACGGCGCTGCAGGCTCGTCTCAACCGTGCGAAGCGGTTTGCGAAATGCGGGGACTGGTCGCGGTCACTGGCAGCACTGGAAGCTGGCGAGCTAGCTCCTCCATCATCAGAAACGGTTGCTGCCCTCGGCTCCAAGCACCCACCTGCTGCAGCAGAAATTCCTGACTGGGTACACAGCTTCACTCCTGCAGCCGCACCACAGCTTACCGTCCCTGTTCTCCATGCCGCTCTACAGTCCGCCCCTCGTGGCACAGCTGCTGGTCCTTCTGGGTGGTTCATTGAGCACCTCAGGGACACGTTTCTTTCTCACCAGCAGCATCTCCCTTCTCTCCTCCACGTATTCCAGAATTGGCTGCAGGGTGACCTTCCACCTGCAGTCAGGCCTTTCTACACCGCTTCGAACCTCGTGGCCCTGCACAATCCGCATGGTGGTGTACGTCCCATCGCCATTGGGGAAGTGCTACCACGCCTCCTTTCACGCTGCATCACTCTCCTTTTTAAGCAGCAGATGCGAGAGACATTCCTTCCTCACCTTCAATTTGGCGTAGCAGTTCCGGCCGGGATCGAGATTATGTCGCACGCAGTGTGCTCCGCCTTCTCCCTTCATCCAGACTGGGTGGTGCTTCAGCTGGACGTTGCAAACGCGTTCAACTCGTTCAACCGGGTTTCCATGTTTGAGGCATTAAGGCGCTCCCCATTCTCCAGTCTCATTCCCTTCTTCCGCCTATTCTACTCCACCCCTTCACCTCTCCACTACCGCAGCGGCCCCCTTCTCCACACATTCCAGTCAGCTTCTGGTGTTCGTCAAGGCGACCCTTGTGGCCCTTTCCTTTATGCCCTAACACAGCAGCTAGCCACCCAACCAACCCAGCAGCAGTCTCCCTCAATTTTCATTACCTCATACGCAGACGATACCTACTTGGTCGGCCCTCCCTCAGACGTCTTTTCCGCATACACTGACCTTACCTCCCGCCTTCTCTCTCTCGGCCTTACAGTCCAACCCTCTAAGTGCTCTTTATGGGCCCCTATGGACCTGCCTGAACACTGCATTCCGCCCCCGAGTATTTCCATCGCTGCAAACGGTCTCACTGTCGCCGGCGTTCCTACTGGCTCCGACGGTTACATCATCTCTACAGTTCGTGACAAACTCGATTCTTTCACTTCCTCCCTCCCCTTATTGCATCAACTGCAGGACCCACAGATTGCCTCACGGATCCTTTCCTTATGCATCACTGCCCGACCTTCTTTCCTCCTCCGAACTGTCGCACCTTTTTCCGAAATCCAAGAGCTTCTCTCTTCATGGGACAGCACCATTTTCAGCCACTTCTCTCAGCTCCTGGGCTCTGAGTACTGGAATCCCACCTCTGAACAGTCCACATCGGCCCGCCTCCAAGCCTCGCTCCCTATCCGCTTAGGTGGCTTCGGCATTCGCAGCTCTGCATCCATCGCCCCCCTCAGTTACCTCTGTAGCTGGGCGCAGACAGTTTCGACCTTATCCACCCACTTCATCACTGATGGTGCTCCTCTTTTCCGCCCCTACGTCACCACGGACTCCATTAACCTCCTCGACCCTTCAATCTCATCCACCATGACTATGCTTCCCCAAGACATTCGTGATCGCTTCCCATCATGGCCTGTGCTTCAATCGGGCTACCCTCCTAAACTCTTTACTCATCTCTCCCAACACCTCGAAGCCGATTTGCTGGAGAAGGTTCGAGCCACAGTAACGTCCCCGCTTCGCCTTGCTCGTCTAACCTCTTTGCAGGGCCCGCATGCAGGTGACTGGCTCACTGTGGCTCCATCCTCCCCGCACATGCAGCTTTCAGAGACTGAATGGCGCATTGCAGCAGCTATCCGCTTAGGCCTTCCTCTCCCTCACCTTTCATCTTCGCTCACCTGCACCTGCAACTCCCCGTTCACCGATCCTTCCATCCATTCTTATGTCCTTCGCTGCCCTAGCAACAACGAGCCTACTAAGGTGCACGACGCAATCAAACGAGAAGTTCATCGCATTGCCTTGGAGCTTGGGTTCTCTGCGCAGATGGAAGACCAGCATCTCCTGCCTGGCCGCCGCACAGACATCACGTGCCGCGACATTAGCTCTGGTACCACCTGGGCCTTGGATGTTTCTGTTGCTGATCCACAAAAGGGGTTTCCGCACTCCAACGCAGCTACGGTGATTGGTTCAGCAGCAGCCACTCGTGAAAGTGAGAAGACCACCCACTATGCTACAGCACTTCATGACCGTCCAGACATCAAACTGTTTCCCCTTGTCATCGAAACCTTCGGTTGCTTCGGCTCTTCGTTCAACAACTTCCTTCGCCAATGTAGCCGCAAAGGGGCGTCACAACTCCGCGACTTGAGTGGTGCTACAGATTCTCTTCCCCTGCTGTTTGAGACCAACTTCTACAAACGGATTTCTCTGGTCCACCAACGTGAGCAGGCTCGCACTGTTTGTCGTCGTGCACAAATTCGTTTTACCGAGGGCGTCAACCACGCACCACCCGAGGTGACTTCTCTTTCTGCAGCTGACTTTGCCTACTTGGGAGAGGACCACTGAGACATCTCAGAGGCCTATTTGTAGGCCTCACAATAGGATTAGCCTGCATGTCTTTCCATGCACTACATGTCTGGATTTGCCTTGTATACATTGTACATTTACTATAGTGACAATAAAGAGGCATGATTCTCGCCTAGGGTGCGAGAGGTCCCGAGTTCAATTCTCGGAACACCCTTTTCTTGTTGTTTTGCTTCATTCTTGCATTACAGATTTCAAAGTCACCCACCAATCGGATTTATCCCCGCGCAAAAGAGCACGTCGCATCGCATCCCGACATGACGGCATCACGTGGCGTGGGTGCCCTCGTTCCACTCCACACCTGTTGATCCCCCCACCCCTCTAATGTGGGAAGTGCTCCTATTTTAGTAATGTGGGACAAAAATTTACGTCCTGCCACAACAGCCACAGGACGAAAATGTAAATGCTTCTTCAAGCTGTGAGCAACACGCAGAGTCAGCAATTAGGCCCTCGTACCGACATTGCCTCTCGCAGACAGGTTATAGCAATTTGAAATAACATTCAGGCATTTCCTTTATCTAGTTACCATGTCGATGTTCCCGCAATTGCCGCTTATATTCTGCTGTCCCTGCTGCTGCGTCCTCTGGACCTACCGTCGTTGCACGCGCTCTAGCGAAGCTACCAGCGCCCAATGGCCGCTCGCCACGTGTTCCGAGTTCCGCAACGTGCCTCGCCTCTGCCACCTCCTCAGCGCCCTTTACAAAATGCGGCGCGTGGAGCCGTACTTTAGGGGGCTCATAAGCGAGGACTTCGTGGTGCGCCGCGCGAACTACGAGGAGACCAAGGGGCGGTGCCCGCCGTACATGATCTACGTGGACCACGAGGCGCGCGACATCTGCCTCGTGGTGCGCGGATTAAAGAGCTCGCAGATCGCGGACTACGAGATTCTGCTAGACCAGATAAAGGGCGCGGAGGTGAGCCGTGAAATGCGGTTCAGTACGAACAAGGGATGGGGGAGAGGCGTGGGGGCACGGGTTGTTGCTGGTGGCACTATGGAGCGTTTCTCAACGGCCCCCTCCCTCCGCCTTCTCCTGCCCCTCGCATTGCCTCTCCTCCTCGCCTTCCCCACTCCTTCCCTCCCCCCCTCCCCTCACTTCCTCCCCTCCTCCTCTCATCCTTTCCATGTGCACCGCAATGCGATCCGGCCACCTTGCCTCACGTCCCTTGCAACCCGTGCTCGGAACCGCGCACTCCACATGCTCACACGCATACCGTCCCACTCCCACTCCCCCACCGCGTGACAGCCATTCCACTCAAACATGCCGTTTCTCTCCCCCTTCCCTTCCCCCTCCCTTTCCCCCCCCCTTCCCTCCCCTTCTCCTTCCCCCTCCCCTTCCCCCTCCCCTTCCCCCTCCCCTTCCCTCTCCCCTTCCCCCTCCCCTTCCCCCTCCCCTTCCCTCTCCCCTTCCCTCTCCCCTTCCCCCTCCCCTTCCCTCTCCCCTGCCCCCTCCCCTTCCCCCTCCCCTTCCCCCTCCCTTCCCTCTCCCCTTCCCCCTCCCCTTCCCCCTCCCCATCCCCCTCGTCTTCCCCCTCCCCCTCCCCTCCTTGCAGCGGCTGGACGGCGGGTTCGTGCACACGGGGATGCTGAAGGCGGCGGCGTGGCTGCTGGACCAGGAAATGCCCGTGCTCACCATGCTCGCGCGCTACCACCCTGCGTACACGCTCACGTTCACGGGCCACTCGCTGGGCAGCGGCGTGGTGGCCCTGGCGACGGTGATTCTGCACGCGAGCAGGGAGCACGTGGGGTTCAGCCTGCCGCGCCTGCGCTGCTTCTGCATGGCGCCTGCTCGCTCCATGTCACTCAACCTCGCCATTAAATACGCTGACGTCATCAACTCCGTTGTGCTGCAGGTGCGGGCGTGGCAGACGCAAAAAGCAATCCCGCAGTCCTCGCTATGAGGTACTGATACCCCTGCGCATCGTCCCAACGCCCTGCATGCTCTGCTCTCGTCATCCCTCCCTGCCCCCTCCATCACCCTCCCATCCCACCCCGCTTCCCTTCCTGGGCATCGTGCCCCCCACCCTGCCTCCCACCCCGCGCGCCACGCCACAGGATGACTTCCTGGCGCGCACATCAGCACCTGTTCGCTCCGCACTTGCTGCTGGCTTCTGGTAACTCTCTTGCTGCCGGTCTCTCCTTACACGATGTTGTTTTCGCTCCTGTCGTCCTGCATTCCCTGCCACAACTTGCTTCCTGTCCGCACTCCCTCGCTCCCTCACCTCGCTCCCTCCCTTCCATACCCCCTACCCCTGCCCCCCCCCCACCATGCGCCAGTCTGCCATGCATGCTGCTGTACAAGTACCAGCAGGATGCACTCATCTCCACCGCTGACAAGCTCAAGGACCCGCGCCGCCTCTACGCCCCTGGAAGGCTCTTCCACGTGCTCTACCGCCCCCACATGAGGTGCGCTGCTCTGCCCCACACTGTGCCTATGCCGCAAGCACTGTATGTCGCATGCGAACTGCACATTACGCAAAGGTTTATGGCTGAACTGCTTTCCCGTTACTCGTCACCGTATGTGGTGTGCGTGTTGGTGTGACCATGCACACTGGAGCCCTCAGTATGTCTCCCACTGCCCAACTGCCCCACTTTCTCATCTAATTGCACTTCCATGGCAGCATGGCACAGTACCCACACCCGGTGGTGAAGACAGCAGTGCCAGTGGACCACCGGTTTGAGCGGGTGGTGGTGTCACCCTCCATTGTGTACGACCACATCATCCACCATATAGAGGCCAAGTCCGCCCTCGCCCTCGCTGTCAGTGCCCCCCACCCTTGCTCACACCGCCCCCTGCCCTGCCCTCTTATGAGCTCTTTGTTGCGTGCAGTTTCACTACCGCATGTTCCCATTCGTGATTGTGCTCTGTCCGTTCTCGCTCTACTCACCGCTCGCCCTGTTCTCCACCCCCCTGCCCCTGTGTGTGCCCCTCAGGCAATGGAAGCGGAGCAGCAAGAGCAGCAGATCCCACCCGAGGAGCAGCGCATGCAGCGCAGTGCCACGCTCAAGGAGCGGCGCGGCGAGCACCTGGAGGCCCTTGCCAGGGCCGTGTCCCTGCACGTGGCCCACGCTGCTGACCCCAGCAGCCTGCCACACCTCTACACTGATGAACCAGAGGAGGAGGAGGAGGCGCAGGAGGAGGATACGGTGGGGAAGGACGGGGAGCCGGGAGAGAAAGAGGCGGATGGAGGGGAGAAGGGCGAAGGGGAAGCGGTGGATGGGGAGAGGGGGGAGTTGAGGGAGGGTGGAGCGGAGGTGGCGATGGAGAGAGTGAAGGTGGAGGTTGAGAGGGTGAGGGCGGAGGTGGAGAAGACAGCAGGGGTGGTGGCGGGCAAGTGGACTGAGATCGTGGATGGGTTGGTGGCCAAGGCAGCCGAAGAGGTGACCAAGGTGGCTCCAGGCCTGGCAGACGACAATGCCCACGAATGGCAATAATGTAACGCTCTTGCTCCTCACTTTTTAAAGCAAGCTTGTACAGGGTTCTATTTATTTAAGTGTACATTCTCCAAGGCTGTGCTAGCAGCGGTACCGAGACAATGGTCTTTTCATGAGTGGGAGCGGAGAGCCTAGGGATTGTCGAGCTCCATGATGGACCGTTGCGGCGCGGCGTACATGTTGTACACCACCGCCTGCCGCCGCACCATCGCCGCCGCGCGCACGCCCTCCTCGTACGCCGCCTCCGCCTTCTCTGGCTCCGCGATCTCCTTGTTCTCCGCGAAGCCTTCGCGAATCCTGCGCGACGCGTAGTGGCGAACGTTGTAGTTGCGGAATCGGTGCGCCTCGCGCAGGAGAGTCCTGAAGAGCGACCGCACCTGGGGGTGGACAGGGGCGCGGCGAGCGCACAAGGCGCAACGCGGAGGTTGCCGGAGCAGCGAGTTGAGAAAGCGATGCGTTCAATTTGACCCGTAGCTAAGGCAGAAGAAGCGGGGGAGGGGAGCAAGCGGATGCGCAGAAAGCAGGGTGTCTTACCTGCGCAGGTGCAGGCGGCGCCATAGTCACAGCGCGGTAGCAACACGAAGTGCGGGCTCCCGAACCCACACGCAGAGGCAGCTGGACAACGAATTAAGAGTCTCTGATGTCTGCTGCGGTAGCGGTAGCGGTAGCGGTAGCGGTAGCGGTACCCACACGCAGTGCAGTGTCTGGTGAGCTCCTAGACGTGTCAATTGCGGTGCTGCTAATACGGATCTAGGATATCGACAGCCGCGAGACGCTATGGCGTAATCATCGAGATTTACGGGACAGCGTCTGACCGCGCCCTAATTCGCCAGATAATAGACGCGCGATAGACGTGATACAGGAGCAGAACCCACGAAAGGCACTGGTGGTGTGAAAAGCAGAAAACCCAGAAAGGCGATGCATGTATCAGCGCGACCTTCCTGTCCGCGTAAAAAAAAACAGAATGAGGCAAGTAAGGCTACGATTTGCTACATGAAAACAAACCCACGGAAACATGTATCTACTACTGCATGACCTCTTAAACTCTTTGTGTACACGTCAAAAAGAGCACAGCACATCACACTGCGATAAAACTCTCTTGCCAATGCACCAGGTTCAAACACATTCTAGTTAAAACCATCATGTCGCGACACTAACAGCCTACATCGCAGCAACATGAGCAGCAGGGATCTTGTGGTAGTTCCAGATGGCCCACTCAAAGTACCAGCGGTGGCGAGAGGCAGCAAGGGGCGCGCCTGGCGCTGCAAGGGTGGAGTCGGGCAGGTTGACGCGCGCCCACTTCTGCAGCACAGAGCCCGCCCTCATGTGCTTGCCTGCGAGGGCAGGGGGGAATGGCAGGAAGTCAGGAAGTCAGGAAGTCAGGAAGTCGACTTGACGGTTAAAAGAGCAAGGAGGGAGCAAGGGGAAAAGCAAGGGAGGAGAGGAGGAAAAGAGGAGAAGTAACCCAAGCATGAGGACATTCCTGATGAGAAGGGAGTGAGTGAGTGAGCAGGAGGTGGGTACACAGCAACCTGCACCCCCCCTGATGACAGCCACTAGGGGGCAGCCATGCATGCATGTGAGGAGGAACGTGAGAAGCTTACCGGTGGACGCGTTGGTGAGGATGAAGGAGGAGCGCGTGATCACACTCAACGCATCGCCATTCGACCCCGCTACTGAGCTCCTTGTCATCACCCAGAAGATCCGCGGCGCTGTAGCCGCGGAGCATGGCAGAGGAAGCGTCCTGGAAAGGCAGAGCTTCGGGAGTAGGGGGCGGCGTAGGGACGACAGGCGTGAGCGAGGATTTCAGCTTCACCAGAAGAAGGGTATCGACAGTCACATCTAGTGCCACGTGGCAGTCCACCAGTCGCTGCAGGTACTCCTGCTTGTCCAGGGGCCCTGGCAGGTTGACCTTCGGATGCCCAGGTGGCAGCAGCGTCACGTTGTCAGCGAAGATGCTCGCAGCGGCTGCCACGTCAGCAGTCGCCAGGTTGAGGCTGAAATTCGCCCAAGCCTCCTGAATCTGCAGCTTGAGGTCGGCCGGGTGCGGATCGGCGAGAGGCTCGGACAGGGAGCGCTCAGGCTCGGAGAGGGAAGGCAGAGGCTTGGCGAGCGAGATCTGCTGGGTTGATTGCCTGCCATCGTCAGAACCAAGGGCAGCGCGGACGTCACGGACAGTAGCGTCAGCGGCGGACAGTGCATCGGGAGATGGGGCGGGGGCAGGAGGATGCGGAGGGTGAGGGTGCGGGCTAGGCGGGGGGGAGGGGGGCGGGCCATGCCTGTGCGCGTCGTCGTTCCAGTACGCCCAGCTCAGCCCCCACGCGTACACGGAGTTGCTCTCTTGCTGCCGCGAAGACTCCACGTCAGCATCCCCCACGGCCGTACCGGCATTGTCCGCGACGAGATCCCACAAGAGGACAAACTTGCCGGTGCGCGGCTGCAGACACTTGGCGGATTTGTCGGATAGATGTGCGGATATTCGACATAGATTTCACCATCGACGTCAGCGTACAGAAACGCGTTGGAAACGTCAATTTGTCGAAGCGGATGATTCTTCGCAGCTGCTTCGCAGATGACGAGACGAACACTTGTGTGTCGGGGCAAAATTTAGCGTGTAGTCTACCCCATGAGTTTGGTCAAAACCGCGAACAACCCACCTTGGCTTAAGTTTCTCGTAAGAGCCATCAGCTTTCGTCTTCACCCTGAAGACCCAATTTCCGGTAAGAATATTTTTATTTACGGCTTTTTCGATGGGTATGAGCTCCCAAGTTTCCCGTTTTTCCAGGGCAGCCAGACTCCGCGTCTTCCTGCAGGAGGCGGCCGAAAGTGAGCAGCGAGTAGCCCAGGTAGCGATCGTACTTGGGCACGTACAGCTCCGCGCGCTCAATTAACGAAGCGGCCACTACCGGGGACAAACGGCTCAAAAGAGTACCGTTTGCGGAGGGGGAGGGGGAGGGGGGCGGAACAGGCGCGAGCGACTCGAGAAACGCCGCCTTTTCCTCCAGGGTTTCGAGGCGCTGCAGTGGGCGGCCCGGGATGGACACTTCGGCGACGGGCGAAAAAAGGCGGCGAGCGGCGCGATCGTACTCGCCTACGGCGACGTCGAACTGCGCCTGGCGGAGGAGCGCCTCGACCGCCGCGAGGGCCAACGGAAGCTTGGGATCGCCGAGCCGACGCGGCTCAGCGGGAAATGCGGCAGCGCCATCGTCAAGCTGTGCGGCACAGAACGCGGAGAGGGAGATGGCGAGCAGCACATAGATGGCGAGGTGTGACGGAAAGCGCAGCGAGACGGAAGATCCGCGAGCCATGGCTGAGCTGCGGGAGGATCGATGTGGAAGTGGTACAGATGAAATGGATGAGATGAGATGAGGGAGATAGGCGCATTTCTTGCATTTCATGTGACTCCATTCAATGCATTCTACCCCACGACAGCATTGCTTCTGCTTTTCGTGAAATTTGAGGGCTGACACGCCAGCATCGTGCATCCGGAATTTTCCTTTGAGATACCCATTACTGTAGTCCGTTTCTGGGCCTCGCACACACTCGCTCCTACCAGGGCCGGGAAGGCATGCGTGCCTCAGTATATCTACCGAGCTCAGGGTGTTTAGTCCTCAAAAGAATAAAATTGTAAAATACACAAATTTGTCACATCAGAGTGGCGCAGCGGAAGCGTGGTGGGCCCATAACCCACAGGTCCCAGGATCGAAACCTGGCTCTGATATTGTGCAGTTTTGCTTGCTAGCAGAGGTTTTTGACACACAACAGAAGTACTGCGGCCTTGAAAGCTTCCAGAATAGCAGAATTATGTGCTCATGCCGGAGTGGTTATCGGGCAAGACTAGAAATCTTGTGGGCTCTGCCCGCGCAGGTTCGAATCCTGCTGAGCACGTGTTTTGGTGTCACCACTCCCGATTCTCCAAACATGATGTAGGGGCGGGGTGTTGCTTTCACTCTAGCTCCGCTTACTCTTTTGGGGTTTCCTTTCTCCTCATTCCAGTCTTGTTGACGACTGAATAACAGCCGCAGCGAGTCCAACGGAAGAAGCCGCGATGCTGCATCACTCAGTCGCAGCAAAGCCGCTCGCTTCAGTACTTGTCGCAGGCCTCGTCGCTAGCTCCGGCCCTCATACCGCACGCCCCGGCACCGGCAAGGCAGGCGGAATTGGCCGAGTGGGTAGCAGCGAGAGAGCGCGCGGGACCCGGAGGGATCGAAGCGGCGCGTTGGTCGGGTGGAGGCGGATAGATCTGGGCTTGAGCAGACGGCAGGTTTCCGCGTCTGGCGGGTTGGTTGTGACCGCTGCTGCAGGCGCAGCGGAGGGGGCGAGCGGCGGCGATATGGATTCGGCGGAGCGACCCGTGAAGATGACGTGAGGAGTGCCCGTAATACTCGTGCTGCGCGTTTAGTTTCCGAAGTTGTCACCACTCATTCCCCGCGATCTCGGGAGCATCATTGCGTTCTGTCACCGTTTTCAAAATGCCACTACCTGAGGCTCCTTCGCCCCGAGTCTCTGCCCCCTCAATCGCGCCCTTCTTCCCATCGCGCCCTCTCCCCATTCGCGCCCTCTCCCCCATCGCGCCCTCTCCCCAATCGCGCCCTCTCCCCTATCGCACCCTCTCCCCGATCGCGCCGTCTCCCCGTTCGCGCCCTCTACCCCATATCGCGCCCTCCCCCTCATCGCGCCTTCCCCCGTCACGCCCCCCTGTCGCGGCCTCCCACCCCGGCAGCGCGGTGGTGGAGCACGTGGCGCTGTTCAGCATGCCAGCGGACATGGCGGAGGAGAGCGAGGGCGACATGCTGAGCCACCTGTACCCGCTGCAGTACCACTACCCGCACCTCCTCGCCATCTCGCTCGGCCGCATCATCGCCACCAAGCGCCCCGTCGGCTACTCCCACGCGCTCTTCGCGCGCTTCCCCTCGCGCCGGGCACTCGACGGCTTCCTCGCGCTGCCCGCGCTGGCGGCGGCCATGGAGCAGTTCGTCACGCCCTCGTGCACTGTGAGTGCGCAATGCGCCATCTCTTACTCCTCGCTCTGCTTCACAGCATCAGTAACTCATGTCTCGCTCCCGCGCCCTTACTCCCGATCTGCCATGTAGCAGTTCGTCACGCGCACGTGCACCGTGAGTGAGCAATGCTGCACCTGTTACTCCTCCAGCTATTTGACAACTTCAGTTACTCGTCTCTCACTCCCACTCCCCTAATCCCGGTCTGCCATGGAGCAAGCAGTTTGTCACCCACGTGCACGCTATGAGCGCCGCTCGCCTGCTCCTTGACTTCCTCAGCCCTTGCTTCTCTAGTCCTTTGCGTCCGTTTCCTCGGCTCCCTTGCCCGGCTCCCGTGTTTGTTCCACTCTTCTTCTCTGTCTAATTGTGTATCTGTGTATCTACTCGTACATGCGTGTGTGGGAGGGAAAGTGGGAATGAGAATGTGTGCGTGAACGTGTGCGCGTGATCGTGTGTGCGTGAACGTGTGCGCGTGAACGTGAGTGCGTGAGTGTGGTTGAGTGCATGCATGTGAGCAGGACAACCTATCGCTGTCATACGAGGCCCAGGTGGAGGCGGACATAGAAAGTGTCTTCAGACGTGGCGATGTGAGTCCTCCGCTCTCCGCCTCTCCCCTCTCCTCTCCTCCCTCGTCCACACCCGCCTTCGTCAATTCCTTCGTCATTCCCTCCCTCCTTCCTCTCACCTTCACGTAACTCTGTCCTTTGCTACTCCTTCTGATGCCCTTCCTCTTCTTTCCCCCTTTCCTTTGTCCTTTCCCCATCCCTTCCCCTGCTCACCCCCCACCGCACGCTGTGAGCAGGCGTATGAGAGGGGAGTGGAGCACGTGGTGTTGATGCGCGCCAAGCCAGCAGCGGAGGAGGAGAAGCAGAGTGCCATGGTGGCGGCCCTGGCTGCCCTGCCGCTAGCCATGGACCCGCACATCGTCGTGCAGCTCACTGCGGGCGCCAACTTTGCTGTCGACACCGCCAAGGGCTTCACTCACGGGCTCGTGGCAAGACTCCCCTCAGGTTGGTGTATGCTCTGTGGGTGCACCCTCACTAGGGTCAAAGTACCATAAGGTCTATGCAACCTCAGGTCTATGCAACCTCAGGTCTATGCACCTCAGGACTATGTACCCTCAGGTCTATGCACCCTCTGGTCTATCCACCCTCAGATCTATTTACCCTCAAATCTATGTACCCTCAGGTGCATGTACCCTCAGGTGCATGTACCCTCAGGTGCATGTACCCTCAGGTGCATGTACCCTCGGTCAAGGTGAACACCATGCTCCCCCAGACCCCCTACCCAAAAGCCAAGGCAAGCTTGACCTCATCACCTTACATCCCTCCCCATGTCAACCTGTATGCATCCCACCCACATGCATCATGATTCATGCACCCCCATCGTTCCTGAACATACAGGGGGCATATGTTGCTGTATACCTCCACTTGTCAAGCACACCAATCTCTGTCTCCCTTGCCACATTGTGTGTGATCACAGAGGAGGCACTAGATGCTTATAACAAGCACCCGAGCCACCGCCAAGTGCTGCGACAGCATGTGCTGCCTTTGAGCGAATCCATCCTGGCTGTTGACTTTCACGTGGACCCTGTAGGGCGGGAGGAGAAGGTTTAGGAAGGAGCAGGTAACAAATTTGTTGGTTTGCCTTTTTAGAGGGATTTGGAGCAAAGATCAGGTTAGATACATTAGATTGATTGTGTACATGGCTATGTTATGCCCCATCATCACAATCATAGTCATCCTCACTATCATAGTTGACACAGTTTCTAAGGACGGGGGCATCCACAACAGCTTTTTGACAGGGGCCACTATCAACAGCAGCTGGTTTCTCCTGGCAGTTTACACCATGAGGTTCATCTTCATTGCTATCCGACTCTCCAGGGTGCTGGCCATCGGTACAATCATCCTTGTTGCATGCTGTATCTTCAGGTGGCTCTGCATTTAAAGCCCAAAGCCCGAATTACAAAGTCAAAAGCAAACTGGTGACACTGTGCCTCCCGCACCTTCCTCTGCCGAACCACGTCGAGGGTTCCCCACCTGCTTGGTTACCATGCGTTGGCCTGTGCGAGTTTCGACAAGCCCAGAATGAGTCTTGCAGCACAACCCCTTCGAAAATACGAGCACGCAGGGGTAGGCTATTAGGAAAGCCCAGCCTACGTGCTTGTAATTCGGGTTTCCAAATCGACGTCAGTCTCTGCCCATGCTCTCCCGCTGTTCCCATCTCTTTACCGATGAGAGGAAACCCCGCAATCTGTGTATTTTACCCGAGCGCCGCGACAAAGATCGGCGGAAGTGGAAATCGCGCAGACGACATTTCCCCTGCAGAGACAAGGTTATTGGGGGAAATAGTCCCGTGGACGAGCCTTGCGCGGCGTACGGCGGATAGGAGAGGGCGTTAGGCACGCGCAGTAGTGCGTTGTTCCGCGCACGGCGGAACCACGCGCGTTGAGAGATCTATCGGGCGCTGTAGGCCGGGCCGGAGGGATGGTAGCGCGGGGGCGGAGGTCGAAAGGGGGAGGGCGAGGGTTGTTGCCGGCAGACGGCGATAAATCTAACCAGTCCTTACATCTGCTATCCCGAATATCCTGTCTAACCTAGATTGAATAACTCACTCGACAGTGCAGCCGCTCCCTTCATCAAACTTCCCTTGCCCCCCAACAGTCGCAGTGAAATTTGATTCCGACTTGCATGAAGCAAGGTGGCCAGCAGCGCCGTGCTTTCCAATTTCCGCGCTAGCGCGCACCTCCCCACCATCGCAGCGCGATCTCAACTTCTTGAATGTGCTGCTGCCGCGTAAGATCCGCCGGTTGCCCTCCCTTGTTCCCGTCGCTCTCCCTTCCCGTCGCTCTCCCTTCCCGTCGCTCTCCCTTCCCGTCGCTCTCCCTTCCCGTCGCGCTCCCTTCCCGTCGCGCTCCCTTCCCGTCGCCCCGTGGGCGCCCCTCTGCCTCCCTTCCCGTCGCCTTCCCTTCCCGTCGCCTACCCTTCCCGTCGCCCGAGCTTCTGTTCCGTCGCCGTCCGTTCGTCTCGTCGCCCTCCCTTCCGCTCGTCCGATCCTCTCCCCGTCAATTCTCTCTCCGTCGCCCTCGCTTTCCCCGTCAATTCTCTCTCCGTCGCCATTGCTTTCCCCGTCAATTCTCTCTCCGTCGCCCTTGCTTTCCCCGTCAATTCTCTCCCCGTTGCCCTCGCTTTCCCCGTCGCCCTCGCTTTGCCCGTCGCCCTGCCATCCACTGCTCGTCGACCTCGCCTTCCCTCCCGCCTCCCTTCCCACCTCGCACACGTGTCACCCTACGTTTTCTCCCCCTACTCCCTCTTATCCCTCCCGCTAATAATCGCCTTCCTTCCCCCCCCTTCCCTGCTTTTTCCCATCCCCTTCCCTGCTTTCCCGCATCCCGTGCCCTACTTTCCCCCCTTCCCTGCCCTGCTTCCCCCCATCCCCTTCCCTGCTTCCCCATGTCCATTGCCTTGCTTCTTCCCATCCCCTTCCCTGCTTCCCTACATCCTCACGCCTGCTTCCCCCCATCCCCCTCCCTGCTTCCCCCCATCCCCCTCCCTGCTTCCCCCCATCCCCCTCCCTGCTTCCCCCCATCCCCCTCCCGAACTCCCCCCATCCCCCTCCCTGCTTCCCCCCATCCCGTGCCCTGCTTCCCCCCATCCCGTGCCCTGCTTCCCCCCATCCCCTTCCCATGCTCCCCCCATCCCCTTCCCTCCGCGTCCCCCCATCCTCTTCCCTGCTTCCCCCCATCCCCCTCCCTGCTTCCCCCCATCCCCCTCCCTGCTTCCCCCCATCCCCCTCCCGAACTCCCCCCATCCCCCTCCCTGCTTCCCCCCATCCCGTGCCCTGCTTCCCCCCATCCCCTTCCCATGCTCCCCCCATCCCCTTCCCTCCGCGTCCCCCCATCCTCTTCCCTGCTTCCCCCCATCCCTCTCCCTGCTTCCCCCCATCCCCCTCCCTGCTTCCCCCCATCCCGTTCCCTGCTTCCCCCCATCCCCCTCCCTGCGTCCCCCCATCCTCTTCACTCTCTCCCCTTCCCTGCTTCCCCCCATCCTCTTACGCGCGTCCCCCCTTCCCCTTCCCTGCTTCCCCATGTCCCCTTCCCTGCTTCCCTCTTACTTGCTTTCCCATGTCCCCTTCCCTGCTTCCCCCCATCCTCTTACTTGCTTCCCCATGTCCGGTTACCTGCTTCCCCCCCTCCCGTTCCCTTCTTCCCCATGTCCCCTCACATGCTTCCCCATGTCCCCTTCCCTGCGTCCCTGCAGTCCATTCAGGCCAATGCACTCCCCCCACCTCCTTCTATCTGCATCCCCTCACATCCCCCTCCCCATCCCCCTCCCCGCCACCAGGCGCGCGCCCTGCTAGCATGCCATCGGTCGCCGCGCTTCCGTGGCACCTCTGTGGCGCGCACATCGCCCTGTGACGCTGGCTACTACACCGCACATCACCGTCAGCTGCTATCCATTGATGGTGGGTGCGTGGGTGCGTGCGTGCGTGGGTGGGTGGGTGGGTGGGTGGGTGGGTGGGTGGGTGGGTGGGTGGGTGGGTGGGTGGGTGGGTGGGTGGGTGGGTGGGTGGGTGGGTGGGTGGGTGGGTGGGTGGGTGTGTGCATGTCTATGTGCATGCATGTCCACGTGTATGCTCTGCTATGTGCATGAATATCTACGTGCATGCATGTCTATGCTCATGAATCACGGCATGTGCATGCATGTTTATGAGTGTGCATGTCTATGCCCACTCTTGTCCATGTGCATGCTTTTCCATGTGCATGCTTTTCCATGTGCCTGCTTGTTTGCTTAATCTCACTGCCATGCTTGCCCTCACTGCCATGCTTGCCCTCACTGCCATGCTTGCCCTCACTGCCATGCTTGCCCTCACTGCCATGCTTGCCCTCACTGCCATGCTTGCTGCATCCCTGCAGGGTCTCCTCGCCCGCCACCCCACTTTGCTCTCCCGTCTGCTGCCACTTCTGCCAGTGCGCTCCTCGCTCTTCCTGCTGCCCATTTATTCCCGCCCCGCTACTTACCCTCACCCCGCTGCGTTCAGGACAGAGTCTATTCCCCCTCTGCTTCCCCCCTTCCCCTCCACAGTCTAGTGCACATGGTGGGGGCATGACAGGGTGGGGGGATGCTTCGCTACTTAGGAACATGCACTAGCGATCCGCCTCCCTGCACCATTCCCTACCTCTTCCCCCTCCACTACCCCCCCTTCCCCTTAGTGCTGAATCTCGCATCCCTCCTGCTGCTCCCTCCTCTTTGTCCTCCAGCAATCTCGTGGAACACACTCCAACCCCCTGGCACCCGTCGCACACTCCGTGTACTACCCACTACGCCTCAGATCTCAGCAGCATCTCATCCTCCATCTACTTGGTGTTAGGTTGGAGGGGATGGTACAAAGAGGAGGGGGAGAGCGCCGAATGTGCGAAGAGCGGAAGGTGAGTGGTACCACATCTCCCATGTACCACCTCCCCCCGGTATCACCTCCCCCAGGTGCCACCTCCCCTAATAACAACAACACCGTAATTGGGATCTCCCGCGCTGATCACCTTCATGCGTCTGCGCCACGTTTTTTCGGTACGGCTCACCTCCTCGTCACATGCACCACGTGCTGCCACCCAACACAATAGCCCCTCTCTCCCTCACGCACACTCTCTCTGCCAGTCCAAACACATGTCGTGCCCAGCCATCATAGCATTGGAGTCAGTACACACCACCACAGCACATGCACCCTAAAACCCTCCTTCCCCTTCCCCTCTCCCTTCACCCCTTTCCTCGCTGTCTCCACACGCCCCCCTCAGTCCACGCACATGTCGCACATGTCCTCTTCAACATCAATTCATCTCCTCGCAGCCTTCGCACACTACTCCGTGTACTACTCCTTGCACCTCATATTGCAGCAGCATCTCTTCCCATGGCAGGTGCTGAGTTGGAGGGGATGGTAATTCAGTTTGCTTGGGGGGGAAGAGCATTGAATGTGCGAGAAGGGCCAGGGATGTGGCACAACTATGGCATACGAGTCTGGCGGGTTCTCACACGCCATCACACTGCTGCCCTCGTTGCCCCATTCCAATGTCCTTTTCCCCCTTGAACACCCCCACCCCCCCCTTCCCCCTCCTCCCCACCAGCAGGCGAAGACGGAGGTGGAGGTGTACCTGCTGCTGCTGGACGACCAGCTCGACGCCCTCGAGAGCTTCCCCGAGCTGCTCACCGCCATGCGCACCGCGCTGGGCTGCCGCTGGCACCCGACGAGTACCTGGCGCGGCGGCGCATCATCCCATCGCCCCGGAGCTTCTAGGGGCTAAACAGGGGCAGGAGCAACGCGCGCCCCACGGCCTTCACGGCGGACAGCAGCAGCAACAAGACGCTGTCGTTTGGCAAGGGGCGCGTGATGAGGGTTGGCAGCAGCTCCATGCTCCAATCATTAAAGGATGACACTTCACACCCAGCTCCCAGATTGATTAGCTGAGTTGTAACGCGGCGGACCATGCAATGTATGTGTTGTAAACTTGAATGTTTCAGCCTGTCAATTGACAGTTGGACCCAGTTGTTACGATGTCCAAACCTGAACCCAGTCTTTTTCAATAAGTAGCTGGCCCAGGTATTTAATCAACTCCGAAAAGAACTTTGTGTTAGCTCCGTTTTGATTAGGGCCAGCCTGGCAAACTCATCGAGGCTAACCATAGACCTCTCGTACTAATTACAGGAGACGAAGGTGCTTAAATCTGTTTTCCACTGTATGCACAAGCTGGCCTGCAGTCCATCTTTCCACACAAGTGACACAAGTGAACTGCTGGGTCTGTTTTCCATTGTATGCACAAGTCCATCTTTCCACACAAGTGATGGCAGCTGCAGCAGCCTCGCTGGCAGCCAGTCCCCCCGCTGCCATGAGCGTTACAAAGTCCGCCTGATCTTCGCATGCACTGCCTCCTTTGCCCGCACCTCCCCATTCCCTGCTGCTGCTGCTGATGATGCTGATGCTAACACTGCTGATGCTACTACTGGTGCTCATGCTGGTACTGCTACTGTTTGAAGTTGCTGCTGCCAGTGTTGAAGTTCCTTGTGCAGCGTCAGCGGCGCTGAGGGGAGAGCAGCGCAAGCAGGGACAGCGGGACGGGGATGAGGATGAGGGGTGCCACACGGGCAAGGTGTAGTACAGCGGTGGACGCACACAGGCATAACATCAACATCACGGATGCCGAGAGGCCGAAATAGGAGGGGATGCGACAGCGAGGCCGCAGTGACGTATCGAGCAGGGCGCCCTGCGGGCTGGTGAGGATGTGGCGGGGGAGGTCAAGGTGTCGGTACTCGGTGCCGTACGCCAGGATAGCTTGCGAGGTGTCATGCACGCGGACGCTGGCAGGCTGGGCGCCACACAGGCCAGTGTGCCACAATGAGCCCTGTGGCTTCTATGCCGTCAAGCTCCGGCATCTGGCGAGCGGGCGAGGGGAGAGAGAGGACGGGAGGGGAGGCGAGGGGAGGCGAGGGGAGGCAAGTGTGCACGCATGCAATGCCTATCTAGTGTTGACAGCAAAGTGTGGCGATGCGGGGCGTGGCCTCTACGTGGTTGAGCATTGGCATCTGCAGGGGGGCAGTTTGAGGGAATGCGCGTTGAGCCATGCATGCAGACGAGCGTGCAAACACTCAGTGATACGCATATGCACGCATGAGCACGCACAAGCATGCACGCGTTCATGCCCCCACCTGCAGGGTCGCACGTCCATGAGCACGAGGTCGAAGGGTTGTGCCTGCATATGGAGAATGGCCACATGACCGTTGCTGGCCAAGGTGCGCTCATACCATGTGACATGCTATGCCATGCCATTGTCAACCCACTCTGAACCCAAGACACAGTCTACCACACATGAGACTCGGAACCCGATGCCCCGTTCCCAACAACTCTCCGAATACCTCCCTTTTTGTTTTTTTCCCACTTTGGAAAGTCAATTTTCACCCCTTGCAATGTGCTATCATTACGGGCTAGTAAATTCTCCACTGTCATCACACCATCCCCCATCCGTGTCCAAAAAGCACTCGACATAGCGCCAAGGTGCATTTTCACAACCTCGCCTGCGTCTATTCCCCCGGGTCCTGCACGATAAAAAGGACAATTAATGTTGGGCAAATTTATTTCAAATCCGTGCATTCTACAACAGCCACAACGATATTGTGCATCTCACACAAATTTACCTGCATCCTGTGCAGCTCGTATCAAACGCTCCGTTACATGGGGTGCTGCCAACATGTAGAGCGCAAGAAGATCATTGAATGAGCACGCGCTTTCCGTACTCGGCAAAAGAGCAGTTAGCCCCACGCGAAGGAAACAAACAGGGGCTTTGAGTTGCCAATGGACACTATGTTGACGCTGGTCATACAATCGGCACAGCTCTGATGGTGTTGGATCCGCCATCCGTCCTGGTTTCATCGGCCATTCAATGCATACAATATTTGGTCATTGAGAGGGGGTAAGTATATATGACATAGGGATTGAATCACGGCATGGGTACAGCATAATATTGCATTGTTGGGAGGACATGAGTGGATTAGTGTTGCTATATTGATAAAAAATGCCTATGTTATGCCATATGAACACACTATCAAAATGCCAGCCCATGCGGACACACCATGCCACGCTATGCCATCTTGACTACACCATCACCATGCCCTGTTGACCAGGCTGAGACTAAGAGTTAGAGGGCTGCCAGATCAGAGATGGTTTCGGGGTTGGAGCCGGATGCATGGTCCCCCATGCTACTCCACCTAAGGTCCCGGACATGACATAGGGGAGTTGGATTGGGAGGAGCACAGGGGAGCTGGGTTGGGAGGAGCACTGGGGAGCTGGATTGGGAGGAGGGTGGAGCACGATTGAAGGGATCGAGGCGAGAGCAGGGAGCAAGGGGGAAATTGAAGCGAGCAGGGGAAAAATGGAAGAGAGCGGGGGGGAAACTGCAGTGAGCGGGGGGAAGATGAAGAAAGCAGGGGGAACATGAAGAAAGCAGGGGGGAAACTGAAAAAAAGCAGGGGGGGGATGAAGAAAGCAGGGGGGAGATGAAGAAAGCAGGGGGGAAGATGAAGAAAGCAGAGGGGATATGAAGAAAGCAGGGGGAAACTGAAGAAAGCAGGGGTGAGATGAAGAAAGCAGGGGGAATATGAAGAAAGCAGGGGGAGATGAAGAAAGCAGGGGGAATATGAAGAAAGCAGGGGGGAAGATGAAGAAAGCAGAGGGGAGATGAAGAAATATGGGGGGAAACTGAAGAAAGCAGGGGGGAGATGAAGAAAGCAAGGGGGAGACGAACCATGCAGGGGGGAGATGAAGAAAGCAGGGGGGAGATGAAGAAAGCAGGGGGGAAGATGAAGAAAGCAGAGGGGAGATGAAGACATATGGGGGGAAACTGAAGAAAGCAGGGGTGAGATGAAGAAAGCAGGGGTGAGATGAAGAAAGCAGGGGAGAGATGAAGAAAGCAGGGATGAGATAAAGAAAACAGGGGGGAAACTGAAGGAAGCAGGGGGGAGATGAAGAAAGCAGGGTGGAGTGACGAAGAAAGTAGGGGGAGATGAAGAAAGCAGGGGGGAAGATGAAGAAAGCAGGGGGGAGATGAAGACATATGGGGGGAAACTGAAGAAAGCAGGGGTGAGATGAAGAATGCAGGGGTGAGATGAAGAAAGCAGGGGGGAAGATGAAGAAAGCAGAGGGGATATGAAGAAAGCAGGGGGAAACTGAAGAAAGCAGGGGTGAGATGAAGAAAGCAGGGGTGAGATGAAGAAAGCAGGGGGGAGATGAAGAAAGCAGGGTGGAGACGAAGAAAGCAGGGGGAGATGAAGAAAGCAGGGGGAGATGAAGAAAGCAGGGGGGAAGATGAAGAAAGCAGAGGGGAGATGAAGAAATATGGGGGGAAAATGAAGAAAGCAGGGGGGAGATGAAGAAAGCAAGGGGGAGACGAACCATGCAGGGGGGAGATGAAGAAAGCAGGGGGGAGATGAAGAAAGCAGGGGGGAAGATGAAGAAAGCAGAGGGGAGATGAAGACATATGGGGGGAAACTGAAGAAAGCAGGGGTGAGATGAAGAAAGCAGGGGTGAGATGAAGAAAGCAGGGGAGAGATGAAGAAAGCAGGGATGAGATAAAGAAAACAGGGGGGAAACTGAAGGAAGCAGGGGGGAGATGAAGAAAGCAGAGGGGAAACTGACGAAAGCAGGGGGAATATAAAGAAAGCAGGGGTGAGATGATGAAAGCAGGGGGGAAACTGAAGAAAGCAGGGGGGAGACGAAGAAAGCAGGGGGGAGATGAAGAAAGCAGGGGGAATATGAAGAAAGCAGGGGTGAGATGAAGAAAGCAGGGGGAATATGAAGAAAGCTGGGGGTACCCTGAAGACAGCAGGGGGAGTTGAGCACGGGGAAAACCGAAGAGAGGAGGGGGGAATCTCAAGGGTGCTGGGGGGAAACTGAAGAGAGCAGGGGGGGAAGAGGAGAGAGAAGGGGCAAATTGAAAAGAGAGCAGGGGGGATTTCACGTTTCACGTTTCTCTTCTTCCTATCGCGCCTCACGTTTCCCCTCCTATCCCCTTCCTCAGCACCTGCGCCTCACGTTTCCCCCACTCTCTTGTACCTCTCACATCCACCTCACGTTTCCCCTCCTCTCTTCTTTCATTCGCATGCGCCTCACGTTTGATCTCCGAGCCCCTTCCTCTCGCGTGCGCCTCGCGTTCCCCCCCCCTCTCTGCTTCCCCTCGCATGAGCCTCACCTTTCCCCTCCTCTTTTCTTACTCTCGCACGCGCCTCACGTTTCCGCTCAACATCTCTCCCCCTCTCATGCGCCTCAAATTTCCCCTCCTCTCTTCCTCCTCTCTCATGCGCCTGACGTTTCCCCTCCTCTCTTCATCCTCTCTCATGCGCCTGACGTTTCCCCCCCTCTCCCCTTCCTCAGGCATGCGCCTCACATTTCCCCTTCTCTCTTCTTCCTCTCTCATGCGTCTGACGTTTCCCCTCCTCTCCTTTTCCTCTCACATGCGCCGTCCGGTTACTCGTCCTCTCGTCCTCCTCTTTACTGCGTCTCACGTTTCCCCTCCTCTCTTCCTCCTCTCTCATGCGCCGGACGTTTCCCCTCCTCTCTTCTTCCTCTCGCATGCACCTCTCGTTTCCCCTCCTCTCTTCTTCCTCTCGCATGTGCCTAACTTTTCAAACCCTCTCTTCTTCCTCTCGCATGCACCTCACGTTTCCCCTCCTCTCTTCTTCCTCTCGCGTGAGCCTCGCGTTTCCCCCCCTCACTTCTTCCTCTCGCATGGGCTTCACGTTTCCCCTTGCCTCTTCT